CTGTTTTCATTTTAAGACACTTGTAAACTCCTTAAATTTATATTTTGGGAAAGTTTCTAGTTCTGTTACTGAGGTTAAGAGAGATATTCCAGGGCTTAATGACTGTCTCGATTTATTCCACATCTCCTTTAAATTCTTTATAAAGGAATTCTGAATCTTTTAAATCATTTAAAAAGATTTTTTATACTATCAATTTTCTTGCACTTCCCCTATTTCATATAACTCTTGTAATTCAATATCCTTTCATCTTATCTCCTTGTTTTGTATTATAGTATCTGGGATAACTCGAAGTTTGTATGCAACATAATATTTACTAATATTTGGCATTCCTAATCTTCCTTTTTTTGGTGGCAAATACCACATCCTGAAGCTGAGGCTCCAATACTTTGGCCATCTCATGAGAAGAGAAGACTCCCTGGAAAAGACGCTGATGTTAGGAAAGTGTGAAGGAAGGAGGAGAAGGGGACGAGAGAGGATGAGATGGTTGGACAGTGTCATCGAAGCAACCTACATGAATTTGACCCAACTCCAGGAGGCAGTGGAAGACAGGAGGACCTGGCATGCTCTGGTCCCATGGGGACATGAAGAGTTGGACACGACTAAATGACTAAACAACAACAACCACATCTTTTTATTTATCCTGGCTCTTTTTTCTCCATTACAATATTCATTTACTATTCATTGTATCTCCTTACACGACTAGATGACTAAACAACAACCACCACATCTTTTTATTTATCCTGGATCTTTTTTCTCCATTACTATATTCATTTACTATTCATTGTATCTCCTTTAATTCCTTCTCTAAAAAATTAATTGGAATAATCCTAAATATAAAAACTGGTGGCAGTTTTTGACTGTGAATAGCTCTCTCTTATCTTAACATTCCCAACCACTTCCTTGATGACTAAACAACAACCACCACATCTTTTTATTTATCCTGGATCTTTTTTCTCCATTACTATATTCATTTACTATTCATTGTATCTCCTTTAATTCCTTCTCTAAAAAATTAATTGGAATAATCCTAAATATAAAAACTGGTGGCAGTTTTTGACTGTGAATAGCTCTCTCTTATCTTAACATTCCCAACCACTTCCTTGGGGCAAACAGGAGTCTTAAGGAGCCTTGGAACCTGAAATGGAGGATTAGGAAACTTTTAATTCGTTTATGTTAAATGTTACTGGCACTAGATGATAGTGTCATCTGGTTTGTACTGCATAACTTTATGTAAACAGGATTTGGGCCAAAATGAGGTTTCACTTCAAGTTAGCTTCCTTCCTTCCAGAATTTCCCTCCTTAAATTGTTAAACCTTCTTGAATGTACAGTTCACAACCAATTCTAGGTGAAAGAAGATACAATATATTTACCTCATTTCTAGTCAAAACCAAAAGTGAAGATGAAGTAGTCAAGGAAGAGATAGACATGGAAGTTACAATTTTTAGAGGGGGATTTCAGCTGCCAGAAACCTCCAGCCAGCACCAACAAAGGCCCCGTGTGTGGAAAAGAATGCAAAGACAAAGAGATTGAATAGTGTAAAATGGAATGGACAATGTGGCAAAAAGGAGCCACATATATTTGATGTGGGTACCGACATAACATCCTGAAATAAAATATGGTTAACATTTATTTATTTATTTATTTATTTATTTATTTATTTATTTATTTATTTATTTATTTATTTATTTATTTATTTATTTATTTATTTATTTATTTAATTTATTTATTAGATTTATATACCGCCCATCTACAACGTGTCTACTCTGGCCGGTTAACCTCACTGGGACTGTTAACCTCAATGTTAGCACTTCACCCAGAATATTCTTCACTAATCCCAATACACTTAAGGCATTTGTCTACCTGGGTAAAGATCTTGGCATTCTCTATTTCAGTCTGCTTTTGCATAGCGAAAAAGAAATTGATTTGCTTTCATTAGATAAGCTATTAGAAGATTGGCATTTTTAAAGCTCCTGGTATCCCTGAGGACGTAAAACATGTCTAATCCACTTGTATTATAATTTATCTGTATTGTAAAGAGAGTAAAGGTAAACTCTGAAGATAATAAATGACCTAACTTGTCATTATATATATATAGGTCATATCAATATATATATTGATGACGTGAATTATTTTTCTTCTCATATATACAGTATAGTAGATTGATTTGGCTGTGGCTCTTATTCTGTTCCAGCCTTCTGCTGATTACTTCCCTGGGGCCTTATTAATGAGTTATTTTAGTGATTGAGTTCAGGCAGCAGTTCCAACAGAGGACAACACAACATAGTAAAATGGTAAACAGATGACCAAGAAAAGATAGAAGTGCTCAATCCTTATTTAGCTGAGTCCCCCACCTGCAAAAAACAAAACAAAACAAAAACCAAACCCAGTCTGTGACCTTCCGGGCAAATGTGAAGTACAGTGGTGCCTCGACTTACGAATGCCCCTACTTACGACCATTTCAAGTTATGACCAGCTCCCACCACAAAAATTTGCTTCTACTTGTGACCGGAGCTTCCATTTGTGAACAGAAAAAGGCAGGGAAAAAAGGCAGGAAATTCAAATTGCTAACTATAGGTGGCGACGAGGTTGCTTCTTTGTAGCTCTTTTGCCCCAGCAGTTAGAGAAACCGTGTCGGCGGCGGTGGCTTGGGACTTTCTGCTTCTGAGAGAGAGAGTGTGTGTATTTGCAGAGAGGCTTTGGGGTGCCTCGTAAGGTAAGGTGCTGTTTTCTGCTTTTTAAAAAAGGTTCTGGGTGTTTTTGCAGCGTGGTTTTGAGCTGGGGTGGTTACATTTCTGTGCTGTGATTGAGTGGTTGTTTTTTTGGTTCCCCCCATTTCGGATAGGTCTTGGGGGGTTTCCTTGCTTTTTGGATTCTCCCCCATTTCAGATGGGTCTTGGGAGGGTTTGGTTGCTTTTTAGTTTTTTTTCCCATTTCCAATCTTGCACAATCTGCTTGATTGCTTTCTCCTGTTTGAATTTGCAATAGGTCTTGCATGGTTGATTGGTTTTTGGTTCATTTTCTTTGCATTAGGTCTACCACGCTTGATTGCTTTTTGCCTTCTCTTGTTTGCATTTGCAATGGGCCTTGCATGGTTGATTGCTTTTCTTTTTCTTCCCCCCTTCAGCTGGAAGGGATTAATCATGTTTCCAACCAGTCTTGCAGTGATTTGGGGGGGGGGTTGATTCTTTTCTTCAGCTGGAACAGATTAATTGCATCTCAATGCATTCCAATGGGAAATGGTGCTTTGACTTATGACCATTTTGACTTATGCCCATCTTCCTGAACCAATTAAGTTCATAAGTTGAGACACCACTGTACTCAAGGAATACCTTGGATTGCAGCTCGAGATTGATAAACAAATAGTCAAGGAATACCTTATTCCCTTGAAAGAGTTCAGATCTCCAGGACTGGGTGAACTGCATTCAAGAAGGAACTGGCCAAAGAACTCTCAGAACTATTGTCTGTTATTTTATTCAAATCATGGATGAAGGCTGAAATACCAAATGAATGGAGGAGGGCTAATGTTGTCCTTATCTTCAAAAAAGGGCAAAAAAGGAGGAATCTGGGAGCTACAGACTAGTCAGCCTGATATCAATCCTGGGGAAAATTTTAGAGCAGATGATAATCAGACATGAATAAATTAAATCACCATAACTGCATACTTCTCTTATTAAATGAACAGCACACCGGTGGTTCTTAGTGATATTACTGGTAGGACACAGAAGTAATCTAGGTGGAATGTAGGTTTTCCATAAAAATGAATGAGATTTTACTGCTCTTCATTTCTGTAAATTTGATGTGTAGTTTCCTAAATCTGTCCTTAAATCTTACTGTAAGTGTGGTACTATAACAGCAGAATGCCTGTAAACATATCAGTTTGCTCTCCAAAATATGTGGGGGTTCTTTTGGGGTGTTTTTTTTTTAGTTCTATCACTGTGCAACCTACATACTTTCATAAAGTGATTGATGGGATGCAAGATGCAGAAAGGTGAAAATCAGTGCAATAGAGAATGGAAACCCCCAAAGGAAAATCATGACTCACAAAGTGATCATTCTAGTTCTCCTAATTAGCTGGCTGACTTTGATATTATCCATGAATGTAGCTCAAGTACAAGCTTGTTTCTACGTTACCTTCAATCAAGATGTTTCCTCCTAATCTCATGAGTTTTTAAGTGAATATGTCTGCTGTTCTTTTTGATGTATGCACATTATGTATCTGAAAGCCCCAGGTAAATTGGAATGCAAACTTATCTCTTATACTGGAAGATGATGGGATTTAGTTCAAAATAAGGAAGTGATTTATTTCTGCCATATGATCAAACTTTAAAACCCAGTCAACGTTTAAAGCCTTGAACAGTTTTGGATTTTGATATTTGGCGGAGCATCTTTATGGGACTTCAGTACTTGAAAAAGCTGCTGCACATGATTTGAGACTTGGAAGAGTGTCTCTACCTATGTATACCTGCACCCTTCTTTACATCCTGTTAATTAGTGCAAACAATACACTGAGGATGCAATGGATGTAACAATTTATATCATCCTTGTATTAAAAAGGGGCTATCTTGACGCACTGAGACATTTCAATGAAAAAAAACAATCGGCTTCTACAAAATATTTCACTCCTGCATGAAAGCGAAAATGCCTGCACTTTAATCATCTGCAGAAAATCATTAGCAAAAAACAAAACAATGTGTGGGTTTTGTACAAAAAACTTGGATATGGGATAAAACATTCTTATACTTCACACTTGAAAATGCATACATTTTATATAATACAATTCCACAACATTTTCCACAAAACAAATGCCAACATGTGAAAAACACAGTAATTCCTTAATCTCATCTAATGAGGAGAAAGAGCCTTCTGGAAGAACAAAGCAAATATTTACATTCCTATAATATACCCAATGGATTCAGGTAACCAGCTCAAAGTTGACTCAGTCTTCCATCCTTCTGAGGTTGGTAAACGGAGTACCCAAGTCACTGGGTGGATGGGGGCAATGAGTAGTTTCTATAATCAAAATGTAAACCACCCAGAGAAAGCAGTATGGGTTGGTATATATGCAGCATATTTTATTTTTGTTTTATTGTATAAGAACATAGAAGAGGTCCTCCTCTGTTGTGGCACCCTGGCTGTTGATTGCCCACCATGCGGAGACCAAGTTGGTGCTATCAGTGGATTCCTTTCAGCAGCAGGTTAAAATGTGTCTCTTGATCTTTTGCACAGTTTGCAGGCTTGACCAGATTTTTGACTCCTGATCTCAAAGGCATGGTTTCAGTCCTAATCAGGGCTTAAAATTTTTTAGAATGTCTCACCAGTCAGTTAAAAATTTCACCAGTCAGCATGACCGGACTATAGCCTTCAAATTTAAACTTAAATTTAAATTAGGCGCTTTCTACATAACAATGCGTACAAACCCAAAATAAATATACACTCAGACTTGGGTTGCTTTATTACCTGCATGCCTGTGGGGTCATGAAGCTTGTGTTTTGAATGCCTTTCTTTTGAATGTCTCCAGCAAAAATAAATCTGAAAGCAAATGTTCCCAAGTTCTTAAGGAGCCAAGTCATTCCTTCCGTTGAAATTGGGAGCAGGGAATCTCCAGTCATTCATTCAGTTGAAATTGGGAGCAGGGAATCTCCATGTTCTCCAGCATGGGACTACTCTACATTCTCCTGCAGAGCTACATATCTATGTGCCGCTTGAACTCTCGTCTGGGGAGAAGAGAGCTGTTTTTCCTTTTACAATGGGAAGGGGAAGGGGAGGACTGCAGGATCAAAGAGACAGACAGAGAGATGGACTGAGGGTAAGGAGGCAAGGAGGGATGGAGGGAGGAAGCTGTGGCTCATCAAGCAGCATTTTTTCATTTGTCACAAAGTGGCATTTCATTTGTCACAGAGTGGATTTTTCAAGCCCTGGTCCTAATACATTATGCATGGTTTTAAGTTTTAAAGTATCAAAGAAATCTGAACCAGACTCAGCAGTCTCAGGTAAATAATCCTGGCTACACATGGCCTATGGGGTTCAAGAGGCAGATGGCAAAAGTAAAGTGACTAACCCATCCAGAGCTTGCAAAGTTTGATCCAAGAATCCCTCCAGACAGCATGGTCAAGTCAGGTTTGAAATTATTTTTTGTTTCAGATTGATTTAAGATATGTTTTTATATAAAATGGAATATAAATTATAGAATTGTAGGGTTGAAAGAGACCCTCAAGGGTCACTGAGTCCACCCACCCTGCAAGTGCTGGAAATCTACAGCTAAAACATCCCTGGTAGGCTGCCATTTGACCTTTGTTTACAAAGCTTCAATGAAGGAGAGTCCCTCATCTTATGAGAGTGGATTCTCTCTCTCTCTCTCTCTCTCTCTCTCTCTCTCTCTCTCTCTCTCTCTCTCTCTCTCTCTCTCTCTCTCTCTCTCTCTCTCTCTCTCTCTCTCTCTCTCTCTCTCTCTCTCTCTGTGTGTGTGTGTGTGTGTGAGAGAGAGAGAGAGAGAGAGATCCTTGAAAAGTTAGAATGCTTGGGGAAAAACTAATATAGAACCCATGGAACTGACAAACATAAATATAAAACATGACAAAGACCAAGCTTGGAATCTTGGAATGCACTCACTAGGAAATAAGACCCATTGAAAAATGTGAGTCTTGCTTCCAAGTAAACATATACAGTACCAGCTTGCTTGGTAAATAAAAAACAAGCAAACAAATTAGACATTTATCACCCTAAAGCTGTCATCAGTACCCCAAATATCCTCTGGTGCTCCTGCACAGATGGCAGCAACATACGCCCAGCTGTTCCTCAGCAAAGAAATCTACCTGCAAGAATGAATGAAATCTTTGTGTTGGCATTGCTTCAGCATCAAAACTTAAATCAAACATTGCATATGGCCAGAAGGAAAGTGAATTACTGTTGAACCTGTAAACCTCCAATGGTAGTGCTTGTACTGATGGTACAGTATATAACTCAAATAATTTTTTTTTTAAGTCAGTATTGACTTATGTGATAGGCATTCAAATAACTAACCTTAGGACACCTTTAAAATGCATCTACAAAACCACAGTCCCACAGGAGTAAAGAAATATTGATAAACACACATGGAGTTGGCTTCAATACTACAGTTTATGATTGAGCCCTGCAGGAGGAGGGCAGGTCTGTATTTCAAGATTGGGTAATAGAATGGAAACAGATGTCTGCATACATGTTGATACTTTTTCTAAATCCTATTCTTATATTACAGACTCACAGGGCCTGTCCAGACTGGTCATTTTTAGTGTGGGGTGGATCAGGCTATAAAAGGCCTATTGAGATGGGGGAGAACAATGTGCCATTTGGCGCACTCCTCCACTTGTAGCCCAATCAGCTATCAGTTAAGTGTTTCCCCATTGTCTGCACAAGGTCAGGGGAAGTTAAATTAATCTTTTTGTATCATTCTTCTGTCAGTACCATTCTGTTTTCTCCCTCCCTCTCTCTCTCCCCCCACTTCCCTTGCCTCATTCCTCCCTCACTTTCTCTCTCAAACTCTCCCTCAGAATCTGCAGCTGCTGGAAGCTGCTATCTTCCAACTAAACTGAATGTACCAAAAAGAATGCATGCCAGAGGGCTGGTCCAAAAACATCCATGACAGCTCTTAAAGGGGAAGGATGGATCTTTCTAAGCGGAAAAACTCGTGAATTTTTTTTAAACTTCAAACTGTGCCCTTAGTGATCCATATATCATATCTGTATGCTGGTGTGGACAGGCCCACAGTGTCTCTCAAAGAACATCATCTCCCAGCCTATGAAGGAAAAGAGAACAATCACCAGAAGAGTGCAATTTAGCAATGCAAATGTGGGGATTTGTATTCCCACATTTAGTTAAAAAATTGCATTGCAGGAAGAGAACCAGACTTTACAGTCTTGGGTAAATAATCCTGGCTATATAACATAACTGCTGTAAGAGGCAGATGGCAAGATCAAGTGACTAACCCATCCAGAACTTGTAAAGGTCAATCCCCGAACCCCTCCACCTAGCATGATCAAGCATATGTTTGTACAGATGCAGTCTTAGAAATGCACATTTGCCTAGTTCTCATCCTATGCTTTTTCGTAGCTATCTGTATCAATAAACTGCACTACAAAATGTGAAGAATTGCAGAAACCAAAGAATAACTGGACTCTAATTCAAATACCTATCTGGATATGTGTGAATAAGGTCAGTTTGCTTAAAACTTCACATCATACAGAAATCTCAAATGTCCTCATTTTATAAAAGGCCAGAGGGATTTCTTCAGCCAGGGTTTCTCTGTTGACCCCCCATTGCTTCTTGTTTAAAGGCATCATATGTTTATATAAACAGAATCCATAAAGCTTTCTTTGTTTGCTTTCAAAAGTGCAATTTGTTGCTCTGCTAGCTGAGGTAAATGGAAGCTCTAAGCCAACTAAAGAGGTTACAATTTGTCTGAAACAAGCATTTAACTTAGACTTAACGAGCTTGTTATTGTATATTAATTAAATTTAAATTGTTCTTTGAAAGCCACTTTTCAGAGACTTTCTTGCCATTTAGTTAACTTACTTTAAATGACAAAAGCAATAAGAACTTAATTAAGTTCCTATTAATATATTTTAATTTCTGAAGCATCTGAGATTTTTAATGGCCTATTCACAAAGAATAATGGAAGGAGAGAGATTTTATCATCTTGAAATAATTGCTGCATTAACTACTTCTCTATGGCAAAAAAAGAGAGCCTATGACTATGCTAGTTTTCTCTTGTTTTGATATGGAGAGGAGTAAAGTTTCAATATCCTGTGTATATCATGTCATCTTTGATACGGAAACGGGACTTCTTGGCACTCTCTGAGAGAAGAAGCCATTGTTCTTCGTTTTCCTTCTTCAAACTTGAAAAGGCCTGTTCACACACAACTCACAGGAAATTGGTGAAAGGGAGAGCAAAGATGCAGATTATGCCTCATGCCGAAATCATGCTATTCCATTAACCCTGTTGTGCACATAGGTGATTCCAGTAGGGAATGCACCAGTCCAATAAAGACACACAATAACACAACCCTCCTGGTGATGGGGAAATCTTCTGTAGTTACACTGCTAGTTGGGAAAATATCTCTGTCTTGACTCTGCGTCATGTGATCAGGAAAAAAAAATACTAACCTAGCTGGAAGATAACTACATAACTTTTTCCTTGTGTGACCAGGGTCTTAGACTAAGGTTGGAAGCAATAGCAAGAATTCTGTTCACAGCATGTAGAGTGTAACATTCTATCTGCATGGCAACCAGGATGTTCCACTCATTGTTAAGAGAGCAGGTGATCATCCCTATTGTAAAGGGTGGTGAAAACCCCCTTGCATAAGCTCTGAGAAAACCCAGGGCTCACACAATACAGCATCACACAAACAGAGCTGGTCAAGAGCATACCAGTCTTTGTTTTTTGCTGGCTAAGAGATTCTAGAAATTATAGTCTAAAAGACTAACATTCCAGGTTCCACTTGTTCAGAACATTACGCCAGTCTTTGTTTTTTAAAACAACCACATGCCAGCATCCTCCAACCAGTGGTCATGCTGGCTAAGAGAGTCTAGAAATTATAGTCTAAAAGACTAATATTCCAGGTTCCACTTGTTCAGAACATTACATGTTCTTTGTTGAGATGTAAGCAATGCATTAATAACATACGATCTTGGGGGTTATTTTCATGATTATTCCTACAAAATATATATCTAAAATTAATAACATTTCTTCAAAGCACAGCCCTGTAAAATAGGTTAGGCTGGTTTGGGAAAATTAGTAACATTTCTTCAAGCCCTGTAAAATAGGTTAGGCTGGTTTGGCTACAAAAGATTCTTGGCTGAATTATGTCTTCCTAGTCCAAATGCAGGACTTAACTCCACACACAACTTCACACTGGCTCTGTATGAATGGATACAGAATTACCTGAGGTTTCCCCCCCTCCTTTTCCTCTACTGGAAAGCAAATTGTTACTGTGCAGTCCTGTACATGTCTACTGGGAAGGAATAACCATCAAGTTCAATTAGAACTTTCCCCAAGAAATAGGAGTTGCAAGCCTGTTGCGGATATCTCTAATGTGCATTTTGGATAGCTGCAATTCAGATTATTTGAAGTTCATAAATTAATTAAATCAGCTGGTATATAAGAGAAACAAATACCAAAACCTAACTCAACTCTATGCTATGCTTAATTATACTGTCAAATATATATTGATTTTCAAGAGTCTTTTGCTTTTGTTATCAGCTTAAGAGAAAGGACAATATATTTTCTTTTTAGAAATAAATTATTAACTCTTGTCATTTCTGCTCCTTTTAAAAGCATAGAAGCAAACCTTGAAGTCCCATGAGATGCAACCACTGCATGAGTCTACGTATGAGAGCAGGTACACGTAAATACAATTTGCTCAGGTTCAGATTACTTCTAAAGAAAAAGCATACTTCATCTCTTACAAGTGTAGCTTTCTAGGTGTGCAAATCTTTGAGTGCTAGATGCTTGAGACATTAGATGTGCCAATGAAGCTGTGCTATTTTCCCAGCTGACCAAGTGCAAAACAAAAGCTGTGTCTTTTGCCAAATGTGGATTGAGACAAACTCATCAGAATAAACTACCTTTTCATCAGCAGGGAGATCTGCTTCGAATGAGATGTTAACTACACTGATTGGGTTCACCCTCAGTTACTCAATGTTTTCTTTCCCAACAGGATTAGGGAATCAAAAACTGAAGCCGTGGCCACACTTGCAAAATGTTTCCTAGTTACTCCTCATGAATTTTGAGTTTGTTTGTTTTTTGTGTTCACATGACACATGGCCATTACCAAACCTTTTGCTCCCCCTCCATGCTATCGCTGCATCAAATCAACCCACTGGGAGGCTACTAGCGGCATCAAATCAACCCACTGGGAGGCTACTAGTATATTTGTTCCACTCTTCATCATCCATTACATCTGAAATTCCATTGTGTGTGCACTGGTTTTTCTCATTAAAGCTGATGTGCGGTCAAACCCACTCACCCCTGTTGTCGTTAGAGTCCCCTTTTTAAAATTTGTGAATCAGAGTGTTGATACATTGGTATGCTTCTGTAAAAGACTGCTTTGGTACTCAAGGTGGGGGTTTCCATCAGGTTCTCTACCATTGAGGGTGACACAGCATGGAAACAGGAAAAAATGGCCTAGATCAGTACATGGCTAGCAAGGATGTTTTGTTGACACATTGATGTACCTGCACAGTTTTTAAAGGGGGAAGGGCAGAGAAACACAAAAAGAGGAAGCGGTATGTCCCACTGCAATAATATAGATATATGTACCATATTTAATTTACCTAAAAATGTGGAAAGTTTTTTAAAAAATGTATGAATCACTATCACAGGATATATGCCATGTGACTGCTGCAAGTGACTCTACGGGAAGCAAGAAAACAGGCGGGAATTTTTCCAGTGTGATTGAGGTCTGAATGGATCACATGTATAAATCTGTGTCCAGATTTCATGTGCCTTGTTTCATCTTGTGACACGTGATCCTGAGAGAGTCCCACATTCCTGAACTATCCCTTAGTTTAAAATGATCAAAATACGTCCTCTTCTTGAACTCCCTGGAGCAAAGTAAACACCATAGAAAGTGAATGGCTAGTATTTAGCTGACAGTGATACAGAAACAATTATATGTGCTTACTTCAATATCTGCATCCTATTCAAAAATCTGGTTCGTTTCTGATTAATTACACATGATGATCCTGTATACAACACAAAAGCAAAGTCTACTTATAATATTTTTAGAGCGTGCAAGCAGATGCAGTTAAAATGTGGATTTCAAAAGAAGAAGAAGAAGAAGAAGGAACAATAACAGCAGCAACAAGCAGGCCATGGTCTTTTGCCTCTTGGTGTGAATCTCTCTGCAGCATACAGGGAGCTTTCTGTGAGCCTGCAATGAGATGTGTAAATCACAGCTCACTACTTGAGCCTTGGCATGATTGCAGAGAGGTGTCAGAAGTTCAAACTGAAAGTAAAGCAAGTGGTTAAAGATCAAATGTGCTGGATCTGCCAATTAAGAGAACGCCCTTGCAAAGTATGAGAGTGCAATGAAAATAGCACAAGAAAGGACAAACAACAAAAAAGCTGAAAATATCCTGAATAATTTGCAACAGTACCACAATTCAATGGGAACAGAAAAGCTCAGGCCTTCAAGAAAGCAAACAGGGCACATGCTATATAAAATGTTTGTTATCCACCTTGTTCATGACAGCACCAAGCTTTCAAATTTAGTGGGGAGGAACCCCTATTGGGAACTTTTGGATGTATCTCTGAAACACTTACTGTGCTCATTAGCCCTTTATGGAATATTCCAGTTCTGAAGAAATTAGAAGGTTGTTTTCAAACTATGCTGCCAAATAGTTGAACACATGCTCTTTCTAACTGCTGCTGCTACAACAAAAACATGAAGATGTGACCAATGTTACCTGCCAAGGTAATTAGGTTGTTGTTGTTGTTATTCCTTTACAACCCACTTGCCTGCAGAACATGTTCTGCAAATGTTTATGTGTGTGATATTTTAGCACTGGGAGATGATTATCAGAGTCTTTTTCCTTGAGAAAACATCTGTAGCACTTCCATATTTGTGCATATGTCTGAATGCTCACATGCTCATATTTGTGCATATGTCAAGCTCACATTGATGTATGGCAACAGCTAGACCCATTCTACAGTTTTACCCTGCATTGCATGAGACACTACATGGACTTGAGTAGGAGCCTTCACTTCCTCTGTAGGCACCCTAACATGGGTGCTGATGAGACAATGGTTGTGTTGCACTGTTTATTTATTTATTTATTGCATTTATACCCCGCCTATCTAGTCGAACGACCACTCTTGGCGGCTTTTTGGAAATCCTTTGCCACAGCAATATGTGGCAGAAAGTTCCAAAAGTCAACTCTCTACTCAAGTGCAGACCCTGGAGGCATAGAAGTGATTTTTGTTGTTGCTGTTTTCTTCTGAGCATCCCTAATGGCACTGTAGGCAAAAATCTTTGGACTACAAGTTGGAAGTTGAAGACCTTTAGTTTATAATTTCTACCTCCACTCCCTGCATCTCAAAGTATTTTTTTAACTTGCCTTTCATGTTTCCACTCCTTTACCTTTCACATTTGAAGTATATCATCTTTCCTCCCTTCTACTCCTTTTATAGCCATTTCTTTTTCTTACAACACCTTGTCTTTCTTATCCTTTTCCTCTCTGTTCCCATTTATTGTTATTATATATAATTAACCACCTCTCTCTCTTTCTCAGCCAGCATGGCATTCTGGATCATGCATCAGACTAGGACTCAGGAGATCCGGGTTTAAACCTTTGCTCAGCCATAGAAACTCAGGGTTCCAGGTAGCTGCAAACCCACCTTTGGTGCCAGCTCTTACTTTCCAAGCAACAAATGAATAAAGTAAATGAAGTTCATTTCATTTCATGTAAGAAGAAAAGTGTTTTCTTTTCATTACACTATACTGTACTTTTGAATCAATATGCTGTATGTTTCGTTGCAAAACTCAGTCCTCCTCACCGCATGAAATCAAATAGAATTCAACAAGGTTTTCAATTATAATCTTAAAATACAGAGGAAAATAATAAGAGGTGATTAGGTGTTCAAATAAGGCATCACCATTTATTTCAATATTGTTGCTTCTGTTGACCAGTTTTGAAAAACATACAAAACTACATAGGCATAATTTTAGAACATAATGCAGTAGACTATATACAATTTATAAGTTTTATATTGTAATGTTCTAAAACTAGGATTACAGAAAAATAAAACATGTCATGTTTAGCTCAAGATACACATCTGATGTATAATCTCTCTGTGGGTTTAACATTGTGATTACACCAGCATGCTGTGGGTGGTGGACTAGCCCTGAAGAGATACCAATTTAAATCTCTTCTCAGGAAAATTTAGATATCTGTTCAGTATGAAACGAATTGGATAACCATGGACCAGTCCTTCTTTCTCAGACTAACCTACATCACTTGTTTGTTGTGAAGACATATCAGGAGAGAAGAGACTATTACACACTGCCTTGGGTCAGGGGAAGGAAGAGCAAGATAAAAAATAACAAGTCTGGAACTGGAGCTGTGAGCAAGGAAAATTTTGATTAAGTCCTATCTCAATCATGAAGTAATCATACTACCACCTCATAACCCAGGTGTTTCTTGGGGAAGGGAGAAAAGGAAGAAGGAGAGAA